CGGAATTGACGGAAAACTTCGTGGGGCGATCCGCCTCTTCTGCTGCTTCATCCTTCTCTTCTCAGATGTTGCCATTTTGTTTTAAATGTGTGCAACGTTTATTACCTGAATTTTAGTCCCTATGTGCAAACACTGGTACACATCCTTAGGGCAAATTGTAACTCGCTGCGGCTAACCCCGTATTTTGTGCCGTTCATTTGAAAACTAGAGATGACGTTCGGGCACGTTGAAATACCGGCAGTATCATGAGAGTGACCTTGAGCGAGTTTTCTGCAAAGTAGCAAAGCGGCCCCAATTCGCAAGATTGACCCCTTTCTTTTCTTAATAAACCGCATTTCTCTTTCTTCTTCTTTCTTTCTCATAAGTGATTTTCGAAGGTTTATTTTGGGCTGGTTCATCGAATTAGGAATTCAAACTTTAGTGTTCGCATCGATTGGCACCGAGAAACAAATCCGCTCGAAAGAGTACGGCATATACCACTGCGGTGTAAGGATCGTATGCTACCCAAACCATATATAAATTAGTTGTATTCATGCTTAAATGTTATGAAAATCTTCGTTTGCATTTGTAATTACGTCGTATGTGTTGGCTCAAAACGCAGTTTGGTAAATGCACTGCATTTACAGCATTGCGCGCCGCCAGGTGGGCTATTTAAGAACTCAAATTGTACATCATTATCGTACACTGGCACTGCGCACCACGTTGGTGGCGCAAGCCACCACCCGATTCGAAGGGCTCAGCCATATCCATCCAGTACGCTTATAAAGCGGGGGTTAGCAGGCTTGCACGTAAAGCAAAAGAGTGTCAGGAAAAGGGCAGATACTAGCCCAGGCAGTACATAAACATGAAGAAAACGTCGAAAGAACGTCGAAGACGTCTGCAACGTGACGTCGTACAACGTCGAAGGTCCGGACGTTACCTTCCTTCGACGTCGATGAAACCTTTAAATGTACGCGAGAAAAGGTGCACAGAAGGTTGAGAAAACGTTCCCAGTGACGTTTGTCACACGTCACATGCACGTCTCAGTGGGCCGTTGCGTCCTCCCTCGACGTTTATGATACGTGTGTTTACAACATCCGGACTACCAACGACGTTCATAGAACGTCGAGAAACCATTCCGAATTACTTTCCCTAGGCGTCGTGGAGAAGACGTTGTGTACAACCCCCGCCCTTCCACACACACACACACACTAAAACAAATTTACTTTTTTTGTATTATTGCGAAGGCAAGTTGCTCTCATGCAAATACGAAGGAAGTAACTAAAACGCAGGCTTGGTACGAACTGTTTATTTTAGCATTTTCAGACACGAGATGCACTATGGAGCGCCGCCAAAAGACGTCCCTGGGTGTTCCAGTTGGAAGTATACAAAACAAACAAAGTCATGTAAAAGAAATGAACAAGGAACGATGTCACGCTGCGCGGAATGTTCCACCGCTTACCTTGTTCTGCTTCTGATTAATCCGCTGACGCGCGTGCTTTACCCACCCCATCGCACATAGCTGGTACTCTCGCTGCGTGCACGGGAATGGTTTCAGAAGTGGGATCCCGCCCGCTGGGCGTTCTTGACTGGGCTCGTCGGGAGCGTCTGAAGGGCCTTGATCGGAGACTGGACTTGACGCGCCATTATCTGCACTGCCCCTTCTTTTCTGGGGGGCGCCATTCATATCCTCCCTGTCACCTTGATCGGAGCAGTAATACGATTCAACGTGGGAAGCGTCATGGCCTTGAAAAAGGTCCGCGAGCCGTGACTGAACACGACGGCGTTTTTGGCGATCACCGACTTCTTCATAAGGGCGACTTGAGCGACTCATTCTGGGCAGCATTATAGAGAAATCGAATCGCAGCACTTCCACTGTATGCAGATTCGAAACAAAATCACGGCGACAAGCAGCCTGCTTTGTAGACCCCGTAGACGTGACGGCCGGTGCTAGTGACTGACTTTCGGAAAAACCTGGACTTGAAATATTTTGGGAACGACTGAGAAAATACGTGCACCCGGAACTTACACTTGTCGATTGTTCGTCGCCACTATCTTCCACCACTTTTCTCTCTCGCTCTCTTCTTGCCAACGCATCGCATGGGGTCTACGGAGATGGGTAACCGGACAAAATCTCACCGGACAAAAGCTCACCGGACAGAAGCTCACCGGACAAAAGCTCACCGGACAAAAGCTCACCCGTTTTTTCACTGACCCGGACAAAAGCTCACCTCATTTTTTTTGCTACCCCGGGTGAAACACGGGCTGGGATAAAGTACGGGCGCGATGGACGTTCCACCATTTTTATGAGAACTGGCATCCCATCCCATGCAGAGGTGTTGACAGATAAGCCATTACAGGCAGAGAAGCAACGATTTGGGATCAACATTTAGGTCACTGGAACTGAATGGAGCTGATAAGATCAAGCTTGCTTGACTCAAGGTATGTCGGAGCACCCGTGTGCCACGCCCAAGAAACTTCGTGAACCGAAGTTTTTGAACCCGAAGACGTGACCGAAGAAACGAAGTCACCCTTTCTTGACCTCGCTTTTTCATTGCGCTTATGTCACGCTAAACGTGCACATAAAAATAAGGCACAATGTTTCTTCATTACGAATCCATGGGTTTTCTTTAATTTAATTTATCGTTGTATTTTAGTGTCGTAGGCATGCACCTAAGTTGTCCGCACACGTGTTAAGACCAACATGAAATTTTCTCCTGGTGAGCTTTTGTCCGGGTCTGTGAAAAAATGGGTGAGCTTTTGTCCGGTGAGCTTTTGTCGGGTGAGCTTCTGTCCGGTGAGCTTTTGTCCGGTGAGCATTTGTCCGGGATTCATGGAGATGCCACTGGCAACTCCTCTGCCTGCTTTTCCCCCTCTCTCTCGCGCCGCGTTAACACCGGCTCTGTTTTTTGGGGTTTTTTTGCCGACACGTAGGTGCGGGCTGGACTTTTTGGACCGTCATCGCTTTTTGGACCGTCATCTGGGCCATTCAACGGTTGGCATCATGAGTGCCAATCTACACAAACTGTTGACAGTATCTACCGGATTTCGTCATTGCCGGGCATTTTATTTTTTGGAGTAGTGTTCAGAAATGAGCAAGTGTGTAGTGAAATTGTGCTCCGATATAGTGTGTGCCGGCGCGTGATTTTTGCTTGAGTACGTCATCAGTGCCAAAGAAAGCAAGATCTGTTTTGACAGTCACGTAACAAAACTGCGCACCGATCTACCGAAAGCGCTGATGTGCTGGAAGTTGGTGTTGTGGATGAACTGTGATGTTGATACGAATTTTGTGGTTGTGCGCAAGTAAGCATGGGTAACAAAACACGAAGAGAAATTGCCGACCCTTAAAACAATGCCAGGTGGGCGCGGAGCTGTATGGATGCTTCTAGGAAATGGTGAAATCACCTGGAGAGGAGATAATCTGGCGACGCGCCTGTGGCGCGTCTCAGGACACAAAGAAGACGACAACGCGAGTGCAAAAGACTAGAATGGCACAATTCCATCCATTCTCGACGCCATGGGCTTCACTTCCATGGGCTTGACTTCGCAAATTAAAGCCATAACAATATTTTAAACAAGCCACATGTAAAAGGATTATATTCCCAACATGTCTTCGTAATATTTTGTTTCCTTCAGTGTACACTGAGTTTTGTATATGCCTTCCCTAGCGTAGTCCCATGTGCAATTAGCAGTATCTTGATATAAATAAATTAATGTGTAACTAAATAAATTCCTTAAGCTCTCAAAAATTAAGTTTTTCTTGCGGCTCTTGAGCAGTGTCACCTTGACCACAGCTGTAATTAAGCTTTTACCAGTGAACGCGTTTTATGCGTTATTCTGGGGCTGGAGATGGAGCTGGAAAAGCTAAAAAAACACAAAACAAAGGTTTGACATCAACATGACATTTGACATCGCCAGGGTGTCAATGACAGGACAAAAATGGAACGTAATTTAAATATGTCCTCAACGTTGAACAAAACGTGACTGGCCGACGTTGCCAGTACGTCCTGTATGACGTTTACGACAGTTAGGTGTGAACGCCACTTCACTGAAACGTCACTCACGGGACAATAATGTAACGTTACTATGGACTTTATTTTAACGTCGAAGAAACGTGAGTGCTCGACGCTGCTAAAACGTCTGGTCTTGACGTCGTGGCGACAATGACGACGTAGGAGTTGAAACATGACGTCGCCAGCACGTCAAGGGCAGGACGATAATGGAACGTCATTTATGAACTTCACTTCAACGTCAAAGAAACGTGAGCGTTGGACGTTGTCTGAACGTCGTGCATCGACGTCATGGGAACGTTGACGACGTTTGAGTTGAAATACAACGTCGTCACAACGTCACTGATTGGACTCTAATCGAACGTTATATAAGGGCGTCACCTCAACATCGAAAAAACGTGATCGATGTCACGCGGGACGTCACGGACGTCAGGGACCTTTTCTCGACGCTTCCACGACGTTTTGTGCTGCCCGGGAAGTGTGCTGAGATCTGGTCTCATCCATGGTTCACATGTTGTACAAAAATAGAAGCTTGGCATAGTGCTATTAACACACCATCATCACTACCACCATCAGACCGGCAAAGAAAACGTTTGAGCCAAGAGTCATCTTTGTTTCCCTCCACGCGATGACATGACCGTTAGCTAAAACAACTTAGCAGTGCATTTCCGACTCCGTTCTTGCATGTCTGTAAGGGTCTGACGGTTTTCTTACACTAAAATTTTCTAACAACAAGAACAAATCGAGGCACGGGGTTTTGGATCCCAAAAGACAACCTGGATTTTATTGAACGATGAAGAACCATCATAAATACTCCCGAAGGATGCGGTTACGAGTCGGTTCCGAGATCTTCCTTCCGTCGGTGGTCCTGTAGATCATAAAAAAAATTGTTACAGTTTGTTCAATTTGTGGACTCTTCGCAGCTCTTTCACAACATTGCTGACATAAAAAAAAACGAAACAGATAATGTGTAAAAAAAAAACCTACGTCTTATGTAGTCGTTCGAGTCGTTTACTTCTTCTTGTAGACACCGTATGCGTGGCCGCCAAGACCGTAGTTGTAGCCACCGAGGCTGTAGCCGGTTCCAAGACCGTAGCCGGTACCATGGTATCCAAGGCCGTAGCTCAGACCGGATCCATAGCCGAGACCTCCGACAGCGGTGCCGTAGCTGAGACCATGGCCATAGTCGAGACCGGTTCCGTAGCTGAGACCATGACCGTAGCTCAGGCCTCCAAGACCGTGACCGTAGCTCACGCCACCGAGACCATAGCCGAGGCCGAGTCCGGAAACAGCGGGGGCGACAGCGGCGCCGTGGTGGTAGGTTGTGGTGGAGACAGCAGGGGCGGCGTAGCTAGCCACGGCTGGGGCGTGGTAGGCAACCTGGCGGGCTACGGAGACGGCGGGAGCGGCGGCGTAGGACACCGCGGGGGCGGCGTAACTGGCCACAGCTGGTGCGTGGTAGGCAACCTGACGGGCTACAGAGACGGCGGGAGCGGCGTAGCTCACGGCTGGGGCAGCGTAGCTAGTCACGGCCGGGGCATGGTAGGCAACCTGGCGAGCTACAGAGACGGCTGGAGCGGCGTAGGACACAGCGGGTGCAGAGTAGGCTGCAAAGGCTGGGCGGGCCACGGCAAGTGCTGGGCGAGAAACGGCGTAGCTGGCGACGGCTGGGGCGGCGTAGCTGGCCACGGCTGGAGCGTGGTAGGCAACCTGGCGGGCTACAGAGACGGCTGGAGCGGCGTAGGACACAGCGGGTGCAGAGTAGGCTGCAAAGGCTGGCCGGGCCACGGCAAGTGCTGGGCGAGAAACGGCGTAGCTGGTGACGGCGGGGGCGGCGTAGCTGGCCACAGCTGGAGCGTGGTAGGCAACCTGGCGGGCTACAGAGACGGCTGGGGCGGCGTAGCTAACGGCTGGGGCGGCGTAGCTCACGGCTGGGGCCGCATAGCTGGTCACAGCTGGGGCATGGTAAGCCACCTGGCGAGCCACGGAGACAGCCGGAGCGGCATAGGACACCGCCGCGGGTGCAGCGTGGTGATAGGTGGTGGACACTGCAGCTGGGGCTGCAACGGCATGTCCGACGGCATGTCCGACAGCATAGGCTGGGGCGGCAGCAAGACCTCCGCTAACGACATGGCCCACTCCAGTGCCGTAGCCGAGCCCGCCGTAGCCGAGCCCGCCGTAGCGGAGACCGCCGTAGCCAAGACCGCCGTAGGTGCCGTAGCTGAGTCCACCGACACCGTAGCCGACCTGGCCGGCCATAGAGGTGGCCACGAGGCCGAGGAACACGAAGGTCTTCTGCAAACAGAGGGCGCCAGTAGCCGCCTCGTATTAGCGAACATCTTGGGAGCACTCTGCTGCGTTTCGGAAATACATCTAGGTTGGATAGAAATCGGATTAATTATATTTACCAGAATTTTGAGGCAATTTCTACAAGAGTACTAAGGGTATTGATTTCAAGGAGGGCCATGTCTTTTAGGAACAACATCTGTTACATACTTAGGGAGCACCCGGGATCGAGGAGCTTTTCCGAGAGGTACTTCCGATGAGCTATATTTGTACCACAATGTTCTTTACATCTGGCTTACCCAGACTGAGCATTTTACCGTTTGGCGACATGACACTGCAAGTTTAATGGTTTTTTTTTCCATTTCCAGATTTTACTTGCCTTCATACTTCTGCCCTGACTCGTAAACATGTTCTAGTGAAGAAAGGCAATGATTCCTTTGGATCTTTGGACTATTTTAATCGGTTTATATACTACGATTGAGACACTCATGGACCTCTTAACGAAAGACTATTTCTCTACGACTGAAAGTGTCTTTCTTGCGATGCTGACGTTTCGAGAGGTTTTGAGATACTTTTGTCGTCTAGATCGATGTTCTAGGAAATGTCGGGGACGGCAGTGTCGAATCTATGCAGAATTTGATTAGTTGAGTGAAAAGCGGCTAGAACTACGCCTAAAAAGGGCGGCTTATGAATTAAACGACTTTAAGTAGTCACTCTGAAGGTTAAACCATAACTACTGCCACCCATGCCTCGTTGCTCAACCTCACGATGTCGACATAGTTGTTTAGCGCCAGAAGCCGGGCGACGAAATGTGACCCGCAAGAACCAGAACCTCACGAGTTCCGAATGAATTCAGAGGTTAAACCTTTGCCTGCAGCAAACCTTCCAACAATTCCACGGTTTGGGGAGCCGAAGTCCTGCGCAGAAATCCTAGAGGGCTGTTCTCTCGATCCACGACTACGAAGACTTCCGCATCAGCTGAACTTACCAGAGCGTTCATGCTGGTTGCTTTCAGATCCACTGCAAGAGAACCGACTGCCATCTCCCTGGCTCTGGCGCTTTTTATACGATCGCCAAGCGGGAGGAGGATTGGACCATCTTCCAGCAGGGATGCGCAGAGAGGACGCTCCTTGGGTATTCAGAGAGGGGACCGTGGAACGGACGCCCTGGGCAGATGACTCGAGGGGAAAGTGCGATGAATTGCCGATAACAAAGGGGTCTCCGCTGGCAAGCCACGCGGTGGCAGCGGAGAAGAACTGCCATGCCATGGCCGTTGTCTTTGAGCCCCGGTGTGGTGGGGAAACGTGCGACGATATCGCCCTCCCGTTGAGGCCTCTCGCGTGCCCTTCCAGCGAGCGTCTAGAACTTGCAGAAGACAGCAAGGTGGGAGAGGAGAGGAAGGTGATGCCGCTTGCCAACTGGGTTGCGGCTTTTGTTTATGAGGCAAAAAAAAACAACCGCAACGACAAAGAAGCGCAACGGCAGAAATGGATTTGCATAAACGACGAACGGGGCACACTCCCGCCACCGTGTAGGACCATCGCTCTCTAAGCACCCTTTCTTGTCGACTGCGTCGGTGGTGCTTGCTGGTCGTCGTCTTGGGTTTCTCTTCCCCCCCTTTGCGACTTTTTTCTTGTTTGCTTTAGCTTCGGTTTCGGTCTCTTCCTCTCAGTCTCAGCTGCACGTTCTGTTTGTGTCCCTTGCGAGCGAGACGACAGTGTGCCGGCGGGAAAAGGAGCGAGGTCGCGACTTTACAAGTTTAAAGAAGTCTCGTTCCGCTGATCATCATCGCGCCCGGTTGCTTGTTGTTGTTGATTTTTTTTTTTTTTTTTTTTTTGCGTCGGCGTTCTTTAAGAGTCACGCGGGAGACCAAACTACCTTTTTTTTTGTTTTCTGTTTCCTTCCTTCCCTTCGCTTTAGCTTTCCCCAGTTCCGTGGCGAGATTGTTTTGCAGCGAAAGGCGTGGGGGCCTTTAGTTTCCTCCACGGTGGTCGCGTGTGTTTGCCAAGAGAAGGGCATGAGAACGAGTCATGAGGATAGCCAACACCGCCCTGCGCACCGGCGGTTTTACAGATTGCCCGTTACCGCCATGCATTCTGCATGAGGGTAACTCCGCAACGCGTGCCTTGTGAGTTGACCTTGGCTTCCGCTGAGAGGGGAAGTACGCTTCTATTTCGGAACGGCCGGTAGAAAGTTTCGTGTTATCGTTCTTTGGCGAAGTTAGGGACGATTGATCGGAGCGTTCAAATGTCCGACTGGTCGTTTCGCTTCGAGTTTTTCTTTGAAAGAATGCACACCTGGTCGAGGACAGTCATAACGTGGCAACTCCGTGTCTTTTTCCAAGAGTGAGGGGACAGCTCACGCATTGAACGACCATCCAATCAGCAACGAAAGAATTGGAGTAAAATGTAGATACTTTAGATACATAACCCGGGCAGCGCACACGGCTGTGTGAAAGTCCTCGGCATATAGTTACGTTCCATTCACGGCTGTCCTGTTAATGTTAATAGTACATCTGGGCACGCTTTAGCGAGCATAAAATCTCCCGTATCGCTGCACTTGGTTGTCTAATTGAGGCATAGGACAATGTGAATGCGCCTGTGAGAAACAAGATTCGTGTGAAATGAAAGGTTTACGCATGCGCAGCGACGACAGTGGCGCCACCGCTGCGGCTTGACGACAGAGCCACTTGTTGCTGTAGGCCCCCTGGAAAACAACCAACCGCAGCCCTTCGAATGGTCAAAACGCGATAGCTGAATGTCAAGCTCCGCTCGTTCCGAAGCAGTGCAAGCGTGTATGCGTGGCCTGGTCGGTAGCGTTGCTGTATCGCCTCCGCCTCAAACTCTTCGAATTTTTTTCTGCAAGGAAAATTGATTACTCTATAAAGTGAAATCATTTGAGATATGCGGCGACCTTCAATCAGTGTTGTGCCAAATACTCAACGAAAGTACTGAAGGTAAGATATCAAATACCCATCAGGAAAAATGTATTTAGAGAAGTATTTAAGTTACTTCTACTACGAGCAATCTTGAGTGGATACCCCTACTTTGAAGAAGTAGTTGAGTGACATTGAAAGATACTCGGCAAGTACGCTGCAAGCTGTTAATATAAGAATAAAAAAGGCGTGCTCTACTTTTTTATTTATTTATTTATTCATGCTACCTCAAAAGCCCGATTAAGGGCATTATATGAAAGGGGGGAGGGTGCATTCAGGGTAAGCATGAATCCAAACGCAAGGAGAAAAAAAACAAGTACAAAAAAAAAAGCACGTACTTGTGATGTCTTCGATTAAAATTATAATCTGCTCTGATCTTTATGAGTTTCAAGAAGTGACTTAGCTGCTGCAATCGAAGTTTACCATAAATATATTCGGGACATGTTACATAATTCGTACCGAAGAATATTGCGAACAAGGGAGACTCGCGTAGTGTAGGAATGGCAACCGGCGTGCTTTAGTTTTGCGGCAAGCTCGGCTCATGGCGCATTCCGGAATAAGCTCGTAATATGCCTCGATAAAATTTGAGACTTAATAAATAGTCCAGAATTACATGTTCCTAACAGCTGAACCAAAAGTTGATTGAGCAGCCAGGCTTGATGATGAGTACGCGAGTGAACGACAAACGTGCACGCGCTGGAGAAACATCGGCTAGAGGACAGCAGCCTCTGTCATTGGTAACAACCAAGAGCGAGTGTTTAGCCTCCACAGCCAAGGGTGGCGATGAGCGCCTGTACGTTCAAACTGTCAAAAACATATTATGAAGGTCAAGAGGAAAACACAAACAACACAAGAAAGTGTTCACGAAACCGCTTGCAATCCCTGGCTCTACCTGGCATAAAACTGGGTGGGAGGCTTCTGAGAATAAAACAATGTGCACATTTGGAAGGAGATAAAAGAGACGCTTTTGAACGAGCTTGAGAGCCAAATTTAATCCACAATAGGCACATAAGGGGTTTTGTGAAAGCCCAATCCAGGTCACTGCAGCTCAATAAAGCCAACAGTATCCAGCTTCCTCGGTCGAAAGAGTGTTCGCGCTCCGTTGAAAACGTGCTCGCGCATTTTTTAACCGGAATTCCTGAACCGGCGATTCCCGAAAATAGTGCATTGTGACCGTACCGTGCGCCGGCGTCACAATCTTACGCTGACGGGACCACTCTTGCTTCAGACAAAAGGTATAAAATCCGCCGGATGACGTCACCAGCACTTTGCTAGCTCCATGCGTAACGTACCATTCAAAGACAACATAAAAAAAAAAACGGATAAGGAGAGACATAACGGCGAACGTACTTGGGCCTATCTATTTGGTCTTTTGTTGCTATTGGGAGACTGCGTTTTGCTCGTGCCTTGTTTCCTGTCCAGTGTTTGCTTGCTTCAATCCAAGTCTGCAATCGGTTCGGCTTTGCCCTGGAGTCTGAGGATCCCTAGTTCCGTGGATTGTTCCGGTGACAAATATTTTCGAAGGTTGAAAAATGTATATGAGGTACTGAGTACAAGATATTGAGAAATGTAATTCAGATAAAGTAGCAAATACGCTAGAAGAAATGTATTTGCAAGATATCAAAATACTACCAAAAGTACTTGAAATACAGTATCTTGATATGAGCATTTAAGAGAGGCACAAGTCTGCCTTAAATTCGGATTGCATGTCATGTTTTAACGTTTGAATCTCTTTCATCCCACGCGTGACGTCACGTTTCACGTGAGCGTTGTAAGTTGCTTGAAATTCCTGCGCGGGGTAATGTGGCTCTGACGTCATGACCCTACCGACCAATCAGGGTTTTCCCGTCCCACGCCACCGACACCGACGCCGGCTTTTCTGGGACACGAGCTGTCGCTTTAAAGCCTGCTAGTCATTGTCACGATATGGGACAAACTTCAGGACGAGAACTGAAAAGGATTCTGCAAGCGACAGGGAAAAGTGAACGTTTTATCAAAGAAAGGGCATGTAGCGGAGCGGACACGTATCCAACCCACGGCATCGCATCGAAGGACACCGGCTGCCCCGATGGCTAGTGTCCTTCGTTTTATGCAAGCTGCATAGTATGCCCGTGTCGGCGATATCTTTCTCGCATTGGAATATTGGGTTTCGCAAAAAGAAAACAGGCCATCGAAAGTTGGACGCCGGTGTCGTGTACCTCGTAAAGGTTTCTAACATTAGTTTCTCACACGTTGCTTGAATACAAACTACTCTTCACTACTATATAAAACGAACTCGCTGGCAATTACTATTTGTGGAATTCGGCATTCTTCCAGTTGTTCTTTTTTTTTCGGTCTTTTTGCTTACATAATAAAACACAAATAGCGCAAAGGACGACGGCGTGTTAGAAACATTTAGGACAAGCGCTGCGAAGACTTTTATAATGAGGAACATAAAACTGGCCACAAACTTTCCTTCAGTATGCTTCTGCGAGCAGGAGCAGGAATTCATATACACAACCCTAAGACACTCTTTAACAGAGCACCCGGCTGGGTTCGACACCTCACCAGAATGTTTTACATAATAACCTTAACTTATGATATACCCCTCCCTACATATGGTGCCCCCCCCCCCCTCCTCTAAATTGACAACTCTGGAGAACCTCCGAGCAGGAGGACTTTGCATCTGGACCTATGGCCACCGATGGAATCTCCATAGCTGGCAAAACACCTGAGGCTCGTCCCGTAAGATATATCTTAGAGTGAACGACCTTGCCCATCTTCTTGGCGTGACGCGGTGAAGGCCTTAGTAGTGCATCATGACATCGTGACTGATGATGAAAAAATAGAGTTATGCCAGGTACGTAGAAATGGCCATCAATTTTATAAAAAAAATGAAGTCAGTAAGAGAAACACGAAAGAGGGCCCATTAAAGAGGAAAAAGCTTTTCAATATAATATGATTGGGCAAGTTCGTTCTTGCCGGCAGAGGCCCTTCTGCTCAGAACAAGCATGATGACGAATTCTTGGTGGCGTTCTTACACTTTTTTAAGCCTTCGCAACGATTGCAATTGCACCTTTCTTAAT